CGACTATCCTCCTCCTCCTCTGCACCACTACCCTCCTCCTCAGCACCACTACCCTCCTCCTGCTCTGCACCACTACCCTCCTCTTCCTCTGCATCACTACCCTCCTCTTCCTTTGCACCACTATCCTCCTCCTACTCTGCACCACTACCCTCCCCCTCCTCTGCACCACTACCCTCCTCCTCTGCACCACTACCCTCCTCCTCCTCTGCACCATTACCCTCATCCTCCTCTGCACGACTATCCTCCTCTTCCTCTGCTACACTACCCTCCTCCTCCTCTGCACCACTACCCTCCTCCTCTGCACCACAACCCTTCTTCTCTGCACCACTACCCTCCTCCTCTTCTGCACCACTACCTTCCTCTTCCTCTGCACCACTACCCTCCTCCTCTGCACCACTACCCTCCTCCTCCTCTGCACCACTACCCTCCTCCTCCTCTGCACCACTACCCTCCTCCTCCTCCTCTGCACCACTACCCTCCTCCTCCTCTGCCCCACTACCCTCCCCCTGCTCTGCGCCACTACCCTCCTCCTCCTCCTCCTCTGTACCACTACCCTCCTTCTCCTCCTCCTCTGCACAATTACCCTCCTCCACCTCCTCCTCCTCGTCACCACTACCCACTTCCTCTCTACCACTACCCTCCCCCTCCTCTGCACCACTACCCTTCTCCTCCTCTGCACCACTACCCTTCTCCTCCTCTGCACCACTACCCTCCTCCTCTGCACCACTACCCTCCTCCTCTGCACCACTACCCTCCTCCTCCTCTTTCTCCTCTGCAACCGTACCCTCCTACTCCTCCTCCTCCTCCTCTGCATCACTACCCTTCTCCTCCTCTACACCACTACCCTCCTCCTCTGCACCACTACCCTCCTCCTCCTCCTCTTCTGCACCACTACCCTCCTCCTCTGCACCACTACCCTCCTCCTCCTCCCCCTCTGCACCACTACCTTCCTCTTCCTCTGCACCACTACCCTCCTCCTTCTCTGCACCACTACCCTCCTCCTCTGGACCACTACCCTCCTCCTCCTCCTCCTCTGCACCACTACCCTCCTCCTCCTCCTCCTCCTCTGCACCACTACCCTCCCCCTCCTCTGCACCACTACCCTCCTCCTGCTCTGCAACACTACCCTCCTCCTCTGCACCACTACCCTCCTCCTCCTCCTCCTCTGCACCACGACCCTCCTCCTCCTCCTCCTCCTCTGCACCACTACCCTCCCCCTCCTCTCAACCACTACCCTCCTCCTCCTCTGCACCACTACCTTCCTTTTCCTCTGCACCACTACCCTCCTCCTCCTCTGCACCACTACTCTCCTCCTGCTCTGCAACACTACCCTCCTCCTCTGCACCACTACCCTCCTCCTCCTCCTCCTCCTCTGTACCACTACCCTCCCCCTCCTCTGCACCACTACCCTATTCCTCCTCTGCATCACTACCCTCCTCCTTCTCCTCCTCCTCCTCTGCACCACTACCCTTCTCCTCCTCGGCAACACTACCCTCGTCCTCCTCCTCCTCTGCACCACTACCCTCCTCCTGTTCTGCACCACTACCCTCCTCCTCCTCTGCACCACTATCCTCCTCTTCCTCTGCACCACTACCCTCCTCCTCCTCTGCATCACTACCCTCCCCCTCTTCTGCACCACTACCCTCCTCCTCTACTCCACTGCCTTCTTCTTCCTCTGCACCACTACTCTCCTCCTCCTCTGCACCACTACCCTCATCCTCCTCCTCCTCCTCTGCATCAATACCCTCCTCCTCCTCCTCTGCACCATTACCCTCCTCCTCCTCCTCTGCACCACTACCCTCATCCTCCTCTACACCACTACCCTCCTCCTCCTCTGCACCACTACCCTCATCCTCCTCTGCATCACTACCCCTTCCTCCTCTGCACCACTACCCTCCTCCTCCTCCTCTGCATCACTACCCTCCTCCTCCTCCTCTGCACCATAACCCTCCTCCTCCTCCTCCTCCTCCTCCTCTGCACCACTACCCTCCTCCTCCTCCTATGCACCACTACCCTCCTCCCGCTATGCACCACTACCCTCCTCCTCCCCCTCTGCACCACTATCCTCCTCTTCCTCTGCACCACTACCCTCCTCCTGCTCTTCACCACTACCTTCCTCTTCCTCTGCACCACTGCCCTCCTCCTCCTCTGCACCACTACCCTCCTCCTCCGCACCACTACCCTCCTCCTCCTCTACACCACTACCCTCCTCCTCTGCACCACTACCCTCCTCCTCTGCACCACTACCTTCCTCTTCCTCTGCACCACTACCCTCCTCCTCTTCTACACCACTACCCTCCTCCTCCTCTGCACCACTACCCTCCTCCTTCTCTGCACGACTACCCTCCTCCTCCTCCTCCTGTGCACCACTACCCTCCTCCTCCTCTGCACCACTGCCCTCCTCTTCCTCTGCACCACTACACTCCTCCTGCTCTGCTCCACTACCCTCCTCCTCCTAAGACCACTACCCTCCTCCTCTGCACCACTACCCTCCTCCTCCCCCTCTGCACCACTATCCTCCTCTTCCTCTGCACCACTACCCTCCTCCTGCTCCTCACCACTACCTTCCTCTTCCTCTGCACCACTGCCCTCCTCCTCCTCTGCACCACTACCCTCCTCCTCCGCACCACTACCCTCCTCCTCCTCTACACCACTACCCTCCTCCTCTGCACCACTACCCTCCTCCTCTGCACCACTACCTTCCTCTTCCTCTGCACCACTACCCTCCTCCTCTTCTACACCACTACCCTATTCCTCCTCTGCATCACTACCCTCCTCCTTCTCCTCCTCCTCCTCTGCACCACTACCCTTCTCCTCCTCGGCAACACTACCCTCGTCCTCCTCCTCCTCTGCACCACTACCCTCCTCCTCTGCACCACTACCTTCCTCTTCCTCTGCACCACTACCCTCCTCCTCCTCTACACCACTACCCTCCTCCTCTGCACCACTACCCTCCTCCTCTGCACCACTACCTTCCTCTTCCTCTGCACCACTACCCTCCTCCTCTTCTACACCACTACCCTCCTCCTCCTCTGCACCACTACCCTCCTCCTTCTCTGCACGACTACCCTCCTCCTCCTCCTCCTGTGCACCACTACCCTCCTCCTTCTCTGCATCACTACCCTCCTCTTCCTCTGCACCACTACCCTCCAGGTGTGGGCTTCAGTGTTCCCTTTCATCTGCAGGTGTATGTGGGGAGAGTTGCCAGGTGTGGGCTTCAAAGTTCCCTCTCATCTGCAGATGTAGGTGGGGAGAGTAGCCAGGTGTGAGCTTCAATGTTCCCTCTCATCTTCAGGTTTGGGTGTGGAGAGTTGCCAGGTGTGGGCTGCAATGTTCCCTCTCATCTCCAGGTGTGGGTGTGGAGAGTTGCCAGGTGTGGGCTGCAATGTTCCCTCTCATCTCCAGGTGTGGGTGTGGAGAGTTGCCAGGTGTGGGCTGCAATGTTCCCTCTCATCTCCAGGTTTGGGTGTGGAGAGTTGCCAGGTGTGGGCTGCAATGTTCCCTCTCATCTTCAGGTTTGGGTGTGGAGAGTTGCCAGGTGTGGGCTGCAATGTTCCCTCTCATCTCCAGGTGTGGGTGTGGAGAGTTGCCAGGTGTGGGCTTCAATGTTCCCTCTCATCTCCAGGTGTAGGTGGGGAGAGTTGCCAGGTGTGAACTGCAATGTTCCCTCTCATCTTCAGGTGTGGGTGTGGAGAGTTGCCAGGTGTGAGCTTCAATGTTCCCTCTCATCTACAGGTGTGGGTGGGGAGAGTAGCCAGGTGTGAGCTTCAATGTTCCCTCTCATCTACAGGTGTGGGTGTGGAGAGTTGCCAGGTGTGAGCTGCAATGTTCCCTCTCATCTCCAGGTGTGGGTGGGGAGAGTTGCCAGGTGTGAGCTGCAATGTTCCCTCTCATCTCCAGGTGTGGGTGGGGAGAGTTGCCAGGTGTGGGCTGCAATGTTCCCTCTCATCTACAGGTGTGGGTGTGGAGAGTTGCCAGGTGTGAGCTTCAATGTTCCCTCTCATCTGCAGGTGTAGGTGGGGAGAGTAGCCAGGTGTGAGCTTCAATCTTCCCTCTCATCTTCAGGTGTGGGTGTGGAGAGTTGCCAGGTGTGAGCTGCAATGTTCCCTCTCATCTACAGGTGTGGGTGTGGAGAGTTGCCAGGTGTGAGCTTCAATGTTCCCTCTCATCTACAGGTGTGGGTGTGGAGAGTTGCCAGGTGTGAGCTTCAATGTTCCCTCTCATCTGCAGGTGTAGGTGGGGAGAGTAGCCAGGTGTGAGCTTCAATCTTCCCTCTCATCTTCAGGTGTGGGTGTGGAGAGTTGCCAGGTGTGAGCTGCAATGTTCCCTCTCATCTACAGGTGTGGGTGTGGAGAGTTGCCAGGTGTGAGCTTCAATGTTCCCTCTCATCTACAGGTGTGGGTGTGGAGAGTTGCCAGGTGTGGGCTTCAATGTTCTCTCTCATCTGCAGGTGTGGGTGGGGAGAGTTGCCAGGTGTGAGCTTCAATGTTCCCTCTCATCTACAGGTGTGGGTGCGGAGAGTTGCCAGGTGAGGGCTTCAGTGTTCCCTTTCATCTGCAGGTGTATGTGGGGAGAGTTGCCAGGTGTGGGCTTCAAAGTTCCCTCTCATCTGCAGATGTAGGTGGGGAGAGTAGCCAGGTGTGAGCTTCAATGTTCCCTCTCATCTTCAGGTTTGGGTGTGGAGAGTTGCCAGGTGTGGGCTGCAATGTTCCCTCTCATCTCCAGGTGTGGGTGTGGAGAGTTGCCAGGTGTGGGCTTCAATGTTCCCTCTCATCTCCAGGTGTAGGTGGGGAGAGTTGCCAGGTGTGAGCTGCAATGTTCCCTCTCATCTACAGGTGTGGGTGTGGAGAGTTGCCAGGTGTGGGCTTCAATGTTCCCTCTCATCTGCAGGTGTGGGTGGGGAGAGTTGCCAGGTGTGAGCTTCAATGTTCCCTCTCATCTACAGGTGTGGGTGGGGAGAGTTGCCAGGTGTGGGCTTCAATGTTCCCTCTCATCTGCAGGTGTGGGTGTGGAGAGACTCCTGCGAGGACTTCACCGGAGGGGCGTCACTGGCCTTAGCCTTGAGATTGACCTTGCGAATGGGATCCGGGAGAGTGAGGGGAACAAGAAGTACCTCCGAGAGCTCAGTGCGTCGCTTAACAATTTTAATAATGTTGATATATGGTAGATTGTTGAGACCTGCCTCACGAGACCAATAATGTACAAGGACACATCTACGAGGAGCTGGTTGTTGAGACCAGCCTCACGAGACCAATAATGTACAAGGACACATCGACGAGGAGCTGGTTGTTGAGACCAGCCTCACGAGACCAATAATGTACAAGGACACATCTACGAGGAGCTGGTTGTTGAGACCTGCCTCACGAGACCAATAATGTACAAGGACACATCTACGAGGAGCTGGTTGTTGAGACCAGCCTCACGAGACCAATAATGTACAAGGACACATCTACGAGGAGTTGGTTGTTGAGACCAGCCTCACGAGACCAATAATGTACAAGGACACATCTACGAGGAGCTGGTTGTTGAGACCAGCCTCACGAGACCAATAATATACAAGGACACATCTACGAGGAGCTGGTTGTTGAGACCAGCCTCACGAGACCAATGTAGATGTACATTACATCTCAGTGATTATGACGAACATCTCTCAATGAGATGATTACATCTCATCAGATATTAGATGTACATGTGTAGATGTACAGTAATCTACAGATGTACATGTGTAGATGTACAGTACTCTACAGATGTACATGTGTAGATGTAAGTAATCTACAGATGTACATGTGTAGATGTACAGTACTCTACAGATTTACATGTGTAGATGTACAGTAATCTACAGATGTACATGTGTAGATGTACAGTAATCTACAGATGTACATGTGTAGATGTACAGTAATCTACATATTTACATGTGTAGATGTACAGTAATCTACAGATGTAGATGTGTAGATGTACAGTAATCTACCGATGTACATGTGTAGATGTACAGTAATCTACAGATGTAGATGTGTAGATGTACAGTAATCTACAGATGTACATGTGTAGATGTACAGTAATCTACAGATGTACATGTGTAGATGTACAGTAATCTACAGATGTACATGTGTAGATGTACAGTAATCTACAGATGTACATGTGTAGATGTACAGTAATCTACAGATGTACATGTGTAGATGTACAGTAATCTACAGATGTACATGTGAAGATGTACAGTAATCTACAGATGTACATGTGTAGATGTACAGTAATCTACAGATGTACATGTGTAGATGTACAGTAATCTACAGATGTACATGTGTAGATGTACAGTAATCTACAGATGTTCATGTGAAGATGTACAGTAATCTACAGATGTACATGTGTAGATGTACAGTAATCTACAGATGTACATGTGCAGATGTACAGTAATCTACAGATGTACATGTGTAGATGTACAGTAATCTACAGATGTACATGTGTAGATGTACAGTAATCTACAGATGTACATGTGTAGATGTACAGTAATCTACAGATGTACATGTGTAGATGTACAGTAATCTACAGATGTACATGTGTAGATGTACAGTAATCTACAGATGTACATGTGTAGATGTACAGTAATCTACAGATGTACATGTGTAGATGTACAGTAATCTACAGATGTACATGTGTAGATGTACAGTAATCTACAGATGTACATGTGTAGATGTACAGTAATCTACAGATGTACATGTGTAGATGTACAGTAATCTACAGATGTACATGTGCAGATGTACAGTAATCTACAGATGTACATGTGTAGATGTACAGTAATCTACAGATGTACATGTGTAGATGTACAGTAATCCACAGATGTACATGTGTAGATGTACAGTAAGATGTACATGATGTACTCCAGATGTTCTCCTTTCATCAAAATATGTGGTTGGTATTTGGTGTAATTCTTGTGCCAACCCGCAGATCTTGATGTTGCAACTGCTGTGTACTGGTCACTATATATCTTCTGCATTGCTCTATTGCTAATTACTTTCTTAATCTGTGATAGACTCTGTGGTATGTAAATGTCTACATTTCTTCTCTTAGTTGCAAGTTTTGCAGCATCGTCTGCAATGTCATTTCCAGTTATTCCCATGTGACTTGGCACCCAGTTGACAGTACCCAACGGCCTTCATGTTCCAGTGTTTGCATTTTAGTATGCTGGTGGAATGAATGAGTTTTTGTATGCTGGTGGAATGATGAGTTTTTGTATGCTGGTGGAATGAATGAGTTTTTGTATGCTGGTGGAATGAAAGAGTTTTTGTGTGCTGGTGGAATGATGAGTTTTTGTATGCTGGTGGAATGAATGAGTTTTTGTATGCTGGTGGAATGAATGAGTTTTTGTATGCTGGTGGAATGATGAGTTTTGGTATGCTGGTGGAATGAATGAGTTTTTGTATGCTGGTGGAATGAATGAGTTTTTGTATGCTGGTGGAATGAATGAGTTTTTGTATGCTGGTGGAATGAATGAGTTTTTGTATGCTGGTGGAATGAATGAGTTTTAGTATGCTGGTGGAATGAATGAGTTTTTGTATGCTGGTGGAATGAATGAGTTTTTGTATGCTGGTGGAATGAATGAGTTTTTGTATGCTGGTGGAATGAATGAGTTTTTGTATGCTGGTGGAATGAATGAGTTTTTGTATGCTGGTGGAATGAATGAGTTTTTGTATGCTGGTGGAATGAATGAGTTTTTGTATGCTGGTGGAATGAATGAGTTTTGGTATGCTGGTGGAATGAATGAGTTTTGGTATGCTGGTGGAATGAATGAGTTTTTGTATGCTGGTGGAATGAATGAGTGTTAGTATGCTGGTGGAATGAATGAGTTTTGGTATACGTTGTTTGTATGAGTTTTGGCATGTTGGAGGTATGAATGTATTTTATTGTGCTGGTGGTACCTTCCTTGAGGTTACCTTGAGGCCGTTTAGGGCCTTACCGTCCCCGCGGCCCGGTCCTCGACCAGGCCTCCTCGTTGCTGCACAGGTTAACCAGGCTGTTGGACGCGGCTGCTAGCAGACTGTCGTATGAATCACAGCCTGGTTGATCAGAGCTTATCAAGTTCTCTCTTGAACACTGTGAGACATCGGGTAGTTATACCCCTTATGTGTAGACGGTATAGACAAGCAGCCTTCCAGTCTGTAGTGGAAGGTATAGATAAGCAGCCTTCCAGTCTGTATTGGAAGGTATAGATAAGCAACCTTCCAGTCTGTATTGGAAGGTATAGATAAGCAGCCTTCCAGTCTGTATTGGAAGGTATAGATAAGCAGCCTTCCAGTCTGTATTGGAAGGTATAGATAAGCAGCCTTCCAGTCTGTAGTGGAAGGTATAGATAAGCAGCCTTCCAGTCTGTAGTCGAAGGTATAGATAAGCAGCCTTCCAGTCTGTAGTGGAAGGTATAGATAAGCATTTGTCTCCTGATTTTATGAATAAGTTTTGGTATGTAATTGATATATTAGCATTTTCTACACTTTATTATCAATATTACTTTCTTTACTATTGTTTATTGGATCACTATTATTAGTTTTGGGTCTTTATTTGTTACGAGATCTTAGTTATTGTAACATTTTAGGGATTTTAGATATTTGGGAATTTTTGTCTGACTTTAGTCTGTCTTAACCTTATTATCCCCAAGATCAAGCAGGAGCATATATACACCTGTGTTATTGTAAGTTGCTTAATGAACAACTAAATACAGTAAGTTGCCTACTGTAACTTACAATTATGCATTAAGCAGCTTACCGTATATGTACTTTCATATTATCAGAATCCTATTGTAAACTTGCTCTAATACAGTAGGAAGCCTTTTGGGCACTTACTTTATTACAGTAAGTAACGTACTGTACAAGAACTTTTGTACAGTAAGCAGCTTACTGTTCAAGTAGTTTAATACAGTAAGTGTCCTTCTACACACTTAAATGAACAATTTCTTTAGTAAAGAAACTACCATATGTACGCCTGCTTTGATACTGTAAGTAGTACTGTACTATATTTTATATAGTAAAGTACTACAACTATTAAAGTCAATACATGCATTATTTGAAATACAGTAACATATAACTTTAAACAATATAAAAATTTTTATTTGCCCTTATTTTCTGAAGCCTGTTGTTTGGAGGTATTAACTTGCTAGTGGTATATGATATGACTTTTTCAACAGAAACAGAGTAAGACAAATCCGAGTGGTAAACTTTGCCAATGGTCCTCAGGACTCTGGCCTGAGACCTGTCTTGTTTAAAGTATATAAACCACGTAGATAAAAAAAAAATCTTAATAAATTAAGAAAAACTTAAAATCGTTACAAGAAGACTTAGGCTTTTAAAATTTAACAAAAGATTTGCATATGCTGGTCAAAACTGTCTATGCTCAGTTTAATATTACGTTGACTTTCCTTTGAATGACTGGAGAGGAAAGTCTTATTTTGATAATTTTCTCATTGATGATGACCTAACTGGTCACATCTGAGGGTATAAGACTCCGTGATTGTGACAACCTTTCCTGACATTTTCCTGTCATAGTCACTTTCACTATGCCTCACTATCAAACGATTGCTGCTGACAGTGAGAACAGTAACCAACCTTAAAACATTTAAACTGGGAGAAAGTCACTATTGCTGACTTGGAAAAGCTTAAAGTGTCTGTTTAACAGAAAACTTGATAATATGCATTTATCAATTATTGCAACTGTCAACACAAATCTTCAGAGTAATATCTATCAAAACAGTTTCAATTACTCATTTTCCATCTGTCATGTCAGTGTTAGTTAAGGAAGGGGAGAGAGAATCCTTCTAAAAACAAATAGAAGAAGAATGCATGGTTGGAATTGTCACGTTAAAGAATTCCAAATTATATCTATCATTGGGATACTCTGTGGCAAAATGCTGGGTGCCCCAGATATGGCTGGGATACCCTGTGGCAAGATGCTTGGTGTCCCAGAGATGGCTGGAGTGCTCTGTGGCAAGATGCTGGGTGCCCCAGAGATGGCTGGGATACTCTGTGGCAAGATGCTGGGTGTCCCAGAGATGGCTAGGATACTCTGTGGCAAGATGCTGGGTGTCCCAGAGATGGCTGGGATACCCAGTGGCAAGATGTTGGGTGCCCCAGAGATGGCTGGGATACCCTGTGGCAAGATGCTGGGTGTCCCAGAGATGGCTGGGATACTCTGTGGCAAGATGCTGGGTGTCCCAGAGATGGCTGGGATACCCAGTGGCAAGATGCTGGGTGTCCCAGAGATGGCTGGGATACTCTGTGGCAAGATGCTGGGTGTCCCAGAAATGGCTGGGAT